ACACACACACACACACACACACACACACACACACACACACACACACATAAACATACATCTCACCAATTGACGCAGCCTCTGTCTGGTTCAGTGACCACAAACCCAGTGTTTTAAGTCATTTTGCACCCTGAGGATAATTATGTAAATAAGAGAAAGTTTAAGTGTGTGTCTGTCAGGTTTGCTCCGGTTATGCTGACCTTTTTATTAACAATATTTAGCTTTCGGTCTCCTTGTATGTTCGACAGAGAGCTCACACGAATGGGTCAAATGTGGGCAGAATGTGTCAAACACAGGATTTGTCTGTGAAAGGTTTATTTCACTCTCTGTGTTTGTCTTAATCCTCATCCTCTCCGTGTCTTTACAGAGTGACCAAGTTCTGGTTTGGTGTGAAAACCACAGACGCTGTGCGCAGGTAAATACACACACACACACACACACACACAAACTTGTACGGCTTTACTTCTAAAGATATTTTACTGACTTGCATTCAATTCCCTGAAGGCTTGCTCATAAATGAATCACTCTGTGCCTAACCCCAACCATAACCCTGTTCTTAATCCAGTCATGACCCTAAAACCCAGTCTTCGATGTCGGAGGAAAGACTTGGACCCGCCATGTTACATTTTCCCAGTGAAGCTCATTGCTTGAACTTGAGACGAAGAAAGATCGTAACCTCATATATATATATATATATATATATATATATATATATATATACATTCATAGTCAACTAATCCATTAGATGATTGAATCGAATGATCTGTAAAACTCAGTTTCTCCACAAAGAATCATGCAAAAGCACCACTTTAAATCTTGTGTTTGAGACCAAAGTGATGAGTTCGTCACAGCCCTAAAAAGACATTGATGATTTGAACCCATCTTGTCTTTTTGGCTGTAGTAAGTGGCCATAATGCAAACACACAACGAGATAATCCTAACAAACCTGACGCAACAACTGAACAAGCAGAGGCAGAGTGTCGGTCTTCAACTCTGCCTCGAGAGGTAAAGAGACGGAGAGAGAGTCTTTCTTCTGCCTCCCGTATGTGTGGAATCTTAACTCCCCGCCGCACGTCTCCTGTAATAGCAAAGGTTGTGTTTTTAGTTAAAATAACGTCCTCCCCTATATCGCCATTATCCATCCACCCTGGAGCAAAAATGATCCCCTGTTTATGCACTTAACACTGCCTGCCAGGAGGCTTCACTGTGTGTGTGTGTGCGTGTGTGTGCGTTTGTGTGTTAATTCATTGTTTGATTCAAGAGGAGTTTCCATGCTGTGTATATTTAGCTGCCAGTCCCTGCTGCAGGTCCAGCTTGTTCCAGCTTCCTGGACGTTACTGTTGCTGTTTTAGAGCTCTATCCACATCTATCTATTCAGACAGGCTACGAGACCGAAACAGAAAAATTGCTTCAGTATTGTAAAAAAAAAAAAGATTTTACACTAGAGAGGATAAGAAAATTGCAATTACGAAACAAATAATGTAAGTTCAGAAAGTCTTTTATGGACTGAATAATGATGCTGTGTAATCTGCAGCCCAAAACAATCTCTGTCCACCGTGACCTTTTACTTACTGACCTTTTACTTACTCAATATTAATGAGTTGTTGAAAGATTCTGTCTGGTTTCTTATTGATGTGTTTTCTGAACTCTCTGTTCAGGTTCAGACCTAAAAGCTTCATCCCAGCTGAAAGCACACCTAAGTCATATTTTACTTCTTGTAACACTTCCAAGCTTTTCTACAAATGCTCAGTTGGACAGAAAAAGAAAAGCAAGAAACAGACGTGAGACCGAGCTTTTTTCTTTCTTTCTGTACAGCGCGTACATCAGTAGTGTGTGTGGGTTGAGGTTAGTCGGGTTTAATATCAACAACAGTCCACAGCTTGCCCCCCATCCAAAACTCTCACCAACAGACCGTTTCAGTGGAGACCGCACTGAGCAAACTCACTGAGCAGACTTCAGCGATACCTAACCCCCTCGCTACCTCAAACACAAACACACACAGCTCCTCTGACCTTACCCGAACGTATCTAGATCCGTTCCTTCCTTCTCTCCCGTCCTTTGTTTCTGTTCCTGATATTTAGAGTTCAACAACAACACAGAGAGAATGAGAAAATATTTTCAACGTCCACATTTTATTACCTTGGCTTGGTGTGTTGCTGTTGTGCATGTGTGAATACCAGTGTGGCACTGTGCGGTAACCAACGTCCAACAACAGTCTCTGAAACCGGCCAGTGGGGTCTGCCGCTGTGTCGACCACAATTTTCCTCCGACAGGCTGATACTGCACAGACAGTGTCTCTCCTTGCTTGTTTGAATTGCGGAGTTATTAATTCTTACCGTTTTTACAGTCTGTTGAAAGTGGACACAGCCCAATTTGTAATAGTCACCAGAGCAAGCCAACAAAAATAAATTAGGAGAGAAAAGCAAGTATCCCAGCCCTCAGCCATGATGTCCTCAGATTAATCAAAGTAATGAATTATAAAGCGGAGAAAGTCCAACACTGTTTAATGCTCCCAACAGGGAGATATTTAAGGCTATTTAATTTAAAATCACTTCGCACTTTGGGGGCATTATACAATAACACAGTCCACTGTGTTATTGTTTCATTAGGCTAACTAATATTCCTATGTTTCAATTATATTCTTTATTCTGCATTTGTTCTAGTAACAGTTTTGTTATAAGAAGGTAAACTACAGATCCCAACAACGGCTTCTAATGAACTATAGAGAGAGACGATATTGTTTTATGTATTTTCGTCACACTGTTGGCTGCAGGGATTGCAATGCAATTTGGTTGGTCCACCATCTTTGCTCTGGCCTGAAGCAGCTGTTACAGATGTTCATGTTCTCCTCGGGACGGATCGTCATAACTTTGGTGATCTCCTGACTTTTTATCATCATCCATCGTCAAGTCAAAATATATATTTGTTCAATTCTTGGACAAAATCCATGCATTAATAATGACCTTCACAATAAGGCTGTCAACAAATATTCAAAATTTCAATATATTTTTGAATTATAAGAAAACAAACAGCAATTTGCATATGAAAATGAATATGCGATTTTTTGAAATATAAAAGTAGCACTATCACGGCTGTCTGCTTAGCACACGCAGAATGCATTGCATGATGGGTGAGTAGTACTTGCTATCTTTGTAGGTTTTTAAACAATTTAAACAGAAAACACATGTTTCATATTGTGATATTTACTGGAAATTACATACAATATAGTCAACAACAAGTAGGAAACGTTCAGCTCCCTGATGATCTCCCTCCGGCCATGGCTGCCACCTTATTTAGCTTTTTGTAGTGAAATGAGGAGGCATCATATAGATATAGTATAGTATAGTATAGAGTCTCTGTAAACCATGCAGTACTTTTTTTTTTTTTTTTTAATACCTCGATTTTTAGAAATAAACAGAAGCCAACATTATCAAATGTTAAATGTTGTCCAAATGCAAGCAGCCAGAAAAGAGCTTTACCTGTATTAAACACTGTCTAAGACTGAACAAATTTCATTTTCAATTCAATAATTATCTGATTATAAGATAAATAAATCTGACCAGAAATCTGGTTTCAGTCCTTGACAATTTCTGGTCCTACGGGCACCATTAGTTGGTACTAACACACTGTTAAGGTGCAATACTTGGCCCTTGGCTGGACCATGCTCTCTGCAGAGAGAATGAGAGAGTCAGAGGGGAGGAAGGAGCGACTCCGCTGGTCCTTAGCTGTTAATCTGTTGGAGGAAAAACACTCCTCTGAACAGTTTGATTTTCAGACCTTTTCTCTGGGGGAGCTACATTTTTCTTATGTTTATAAACCCAGTTTAAGGGTTTTTAGTAATCAAATCTCACAAAATGGGACTTGGTCTCAACATGCATTCCATTGCAGGATCCCATAAAGCCTCTTGGCAGTGTGACATACTCAATAACTTTTGACAGAGATTTTTACCGAATAATTTAGGGACTGGTATCACTTTTCCTCAACTCTATTTTGGGTCCTTACCCAGACTTGGAGCAGTACTGAAAGAGGTTGTTCTCACTGAGTTTTTAGTTAATAGTCAGTCGATCCGCTCACTGCCACACACACACACACACACACACACACACACTGGTGCACTGCGAAACTAAAGATGAATTAAAGTTCCCATTTCATCTATTTCACTTAAGAAGCTGAAAGCTTGCAATGGTCCATTTATTTTCTCAAGGAAATGACACAAAGTTTTTTTGTTTTTTTTTATATATTATTATTTTTAGAAATGTCATGGCCTTTTCTTTAAGCAACTTTAATCTCAGAATGTATAGGGGAGAGTTAAGTAGATCTGCAGGACATGTAGTACATTCTCCGTTATACGTGAAGAATGTTAAAGAATAAAAGAATGGATAGAACTTCTCTAAAGTTACTCTTCTAGTGAGTGGGATGCCTCTCAGTCTACAGCACAAATAGGATAGGATAGGAAAAAGAGATGAAGTTAAGCATGCTTCCATTGTCTGTGGTGCTTTATCTGTTCCTTTGTTACATAAGGGTCCGGAGTCTCTCGATTGAAGATGCACAAACACACACCAGGCAGATGTTGCCCCAACACATATGGTTTGTGTCACATCATGAGTGGAAACACACATGGGAGTTCACTAAAACTGAACTACAGCCCTCACTCAATTCCTCAATCTGTCCATCTCCTCCTTCTTTTTCTCTCTCTCTCTCTCTCTCTCTCTCTCTCTCTCTCTCTCTCTCTCTCT